ACGGTGTTGCAGAATGCAGACATCAGACACTCGCCACTTGAGCATTAAGTGCTCACCACCAGAGTGGCTATCCTCATTCGTTCTGGGGTCATGCTATCCTCAACTCAGCTTACATCAAGAATTTCCTTCCGTCATCAGCCACTGACAACAGGACACCATTTGAACTCTTTTTTGGTGAACTGCCGAATGTCTCGCACTTATGTCCATTTGGCTGCCTCGCCTATGCTCACATCCCAGACGACAATCGCCACAAATACGAATTTGTTTCAAGACAGTGCTTCTTATTAGGACACATCAAGGATGCTGGATATCTTTTATGGGATCCGGTGACACGACAAATGGTACGCTCCCAAAATGTCCATTTTGATGAAAATTTCTTCTATGGCACACCCAATTCAGTTGTTTCACCCCTCATTGAACTGTACAATCAGCGCACTCTAATGCAACAGCCCACTCCTGCATTACCACACTCTTTGCCAACATCAGAAGATACCTCCGAAATCACACTGACAGGACCCAGTACTGTTTCAGTGGGAGTACTTCCAAGTTCTGCTCCTCCCATTCCTGCACCTTCACAACCATTCCCGCAATCAAACAACAATGTTCTGCCTGTTACTACGGAGGACCCGGTAGAAACTGTACCATCTCCTGAGCCACAATGTTCGACACACCAACGCATCAATGCACGACCAGCAGTTCCAAAATCTGTCGCCATCCCAACCAAACACGTTCCAGTACAACGGCGTTGGACTTACGTCCCGGTCACTGTTGAGGAGGAAGTTGATGAAGAACAAGATTGTGGCACTAGCGCAACCCCTGACGTCACCATTAAACACTCCACAAGACATGTATCCTTGGCAGACAGCAATAAGGTTAATGGACGGAAGCTCCCTCCAAAAATGATAGCTGCGGCTCACTCGTCAAAAGATTCGGGTCATTGGGAAAGTGCGATGAATGAAGAGTTAGCCTTGTTGGGAGAAAAAGGAGTGGGTGTTTTAACACCACTCCCATCAGGGAGAAAAGCAGTCGGCTCACGGTGGGTATACTCGCACAAGTATGACAAAAATGGTCAGATTGCCCGTCATAAGGCCCGTCTCGTTGCACAGGGTTTCACGCAGATCGAAGGTCTGGACTATACTGACACCTTCACTCCTGTTACAAAATATGACACTGTACGTGCACTACTCTCCATGGTTGCTAAGCTTGATCTTGAACTTGATCAAATGGACGTGAAGACCGCTTTTTCTCAATGGCAAGCTTGATGAAGAAATCTACATGCGTCAACCCCCAGGTTTCGAAGACCCTGAGCACCCAGATTGGGTCTGGAAACTCCTCAAGGCCATCTACAGACTCAATCAAGCCGGTCGTCAATGGAACAAGACACTCGATGATTTCTTATGAAAAGAAGGTTTCAATTTTGTTCGCAGTGAAGCAGACTATAGTCTGTACGTTTTACGCAAGGATGACAAGACCATTTGGCTCCTCGTTTACGTCAACGACATGTTGATTGCATCGAACTGTCGGGATTTCCTTAATGGTTTTAAGTTGGAGATGAGCAAACATTTCGAAATGAAGGATCTTGGCGAAGCGCGTCATTTTTTAGGAATGCATATTATGTGAGATCGCTCCAAGAAGCTCTTCACCATCAACCAATCCTCCTTTCTCAAACAGATCCTCAGTGAAACTCAGATGTCGGATTGTCGACCAGTGTCTACCCCCATGGTCCTAGGCATCTCCTTGACGAAGACATCTGCACCCCTCACTCAAACTGAAGTGCAACAATTCGTGCACATGCCATATGCACGTGTCATTGGGGAACTCAACTTTGCTATGCGCGTTAGTTGTCCAGACATCGCATACGCAGTATCAACACTGTCGAAATTTCTGAGCAACCCTGGCATAGAGCACTATCACCAGCTTCACCATCTCCTTCGTTACCTCCGTGGATCCACGCATCATTCCTTGACCTTTGGTTTATCCGACCAAGGACTTGTTGGTTACTCGGACTCAGACTTCGCGTCTGACAAAGATGACAGCCATTCAATTGGGGGCTATGTCTACTATCTCTTTGGTTCCCCCATTAGTTGGCGTTCCCAAAAACAATCTGTCATTGCGACTTCATCCACTGAAGCCGAGTACATCTCTCTCTCTAACGCAGCCCACGAGCAGATCCATCTCAGTCAGCTGCTATGCGACTTTGGTCTTGACCTGTTGCTGATCACCCCCACCATGCTATATGGTGATAATAATGGAAGTCGTGCGCTAACGAAAAACCCGCAATTCCATGACCGGGCAAAGCACATTCGCGTCCGCTATCACTTCATTCGAGATCTAGTTAGCAACGGGACTATCATTATCCCATATGTACCCACACACGATATGGTTGCCGACATTTTCACGAAATCCCTACCATGAAAACTTTTCCACAACCATCGCCACTCGCTCACTCTTTGTTCACCTTCAAACGAAGAACCAGCTGAATAAGCTACACACGCATCTCTAGTGATTTGTGTCCGAGTGGGAGTATCAAGATATGACCTTTATATGTACTTAACCTTTTCCTTTTTACATACACAATCACTCCTCCTACCATGTGTCATACACGTTCCTCATTGATTCTCCATCTCAATCAACATATTAATTCCTCTCCTCATCAAATAATCTCCCTCAGTCTTTCGATCCAAGACTGAGGTGAGCTTTCTCGTTTACGGTTCTACTCTACCCTTTACTAACTACTACCCTACTCAGTCCGTTCCCATCCTTAGGTATGATCCATAGTTAATACGAGTCTTTCGATCCAAGACTGAGTCCGTTCCCGTCCTTAGTTCCTAGTCCGAGTCTCGTCACCTCTAATAGATCCATGCCCCATTAATTGAACACCAAGCAATCAACACACCAAATGACCAGTGCAGAAGTTGAACATCAAATAATGCAAAGTTTGGAATTCTATAGACCCTCCTGGTCGCCCTTTGTGACAAACAACTTGAATGGCACTAATAAATGTCAATGAACCAAAAGTCAAGCCAAGTCAAGTACTGTCGATCACGTTGTCGACTTGCAGATTAGTACAGATTTCTCAAGTGAAAGTGGGGGGTGGGGTGCAGACGGAGCAAGCGCACAACTACTGGCACAACTGACTTGGGGCTTCCATTCTTAACATCAGTACAGCTTGCACGTTATCATCTAGGGCATGCACAATTCAACATCATGTCCCTGCATTGCTATGAGCACCATTACGAACCCATTGCAGAATGTATTTCTATCCTCGCAAAGGAATTTGGCCATGCTGAATTTGGTGATGAGATACTCTGCGATAATAGAGCAACCCCCGCTGCTAAGATAAAAAAGACGTCAATGATAGTGCCCCACTATACCATGCGATACGCCATCACTGTACAAGGTGTCGCGATGCTTGGCGGACAACGTATGATCACATGTTCATTGGACGGCTCGCTCCGAATATGGGACCTGGAAAGTGGCTCACTGATAGGTGATGCCTGGCAAGATGAGGGGGAGAGAGTAACACTTGGCTTTGCATTGTCTTCAAACAGCAAGACTGTTGCAAGCGGATACAGTGATGGGACAGTGATGTTGTGGGACAATGAGACGGGGAAGGTCATCAAAAAATGGACAGGGCACACTAATATTGTGGTGCCAGTGTGCTGGAGTCAGTGTGGGATGTCCAGAGCGGCGAACCTACATCAGCAAAACTCCCCAAATGTCATAACACATAACATTATCTGATTAGGAATTGTCAAAATGTTTGAGTATTATGATGCATGTATGCATGCGTCATACGAACATTACACATTATAAACACCTCACCACCCTCACATCATGTCACATGACCCTCAAACATGGTGGCAGTGACATTATATTGTAGTTATAAGGTGGTAGTACTATTATATGTACCTCACTACAGTAGCAAATGTATATATGCACAATAGAAACAAGTGTACCATCAGGATCCAGAAAACCGAAGGCGCACATCAGTAAATTCACACATTGCTTATTTCAACTTATTTGGCACTTGTCACTACTTTGTCACTTATCAATAATGGGATCTACTTTTTTTTCTTGAACTAGCCACCCCAGCCCACCACCCTCCACTTGAGTGTTTCAAATTTCTAATAACCTATCAAATACATGTTTGATAATGATAGAATATAGTCTTCTCAAGTGTAGCTGCCTAGGGAAAGCATTTAAGTCAAAATCTTCTTGCTACTGTTTTGGCATTTCCACTTGACTAAAACAACCAATGTGGTTGTTTTGATATTGTCAAATGAGCTTCTATAGTCTAACAAATATTTTGGTGTACTCTAGTTGAGGGTGGTGGGCCCAGGTGGCTAGTTGAAGAAAAATAAGTAGATCCCATTATTGATAAGTGACAAAAGTAGGGATAAGTGCCAAATAAGTCACCTCAGGCAGTACTTCTCAGTAGTAATAAAGGGTCTCAGAGACCCGGTTTCTATGTTATGGGAAAGTTATCTATGAGACCCGACCTCTCTACTGTCCATTAATAGATATTATTCATAACCACCTCCAGTGGCTCTGGTGCCACCCATAATAGCCTTGTGTTCTATCAACTAGCCTGCAGGTAGCCTCTCACCCCCTGCCGCTGACTCTGAGGAGCCTCACTGCATTCACTTTATATTATTTTAAGTCCACTCTACTGTGGTTTCTTTAGTACTACAATGATGCCTTCGTCACCATCAACGCCAGGCAGGGTGTGACCTTCTCGCAAGTCTGAAGTTGTATCCTCTGGTCTTGGTCACCATTTTGTCAGCCCATATAAAGCTCGCGACAAGGAGAAAAGTCAAGCGTTGATTGAGATACCTGGTGCAGAGGCCAAATGGCGCCGCCTTCTTGCTCAGATGGACCAGTTGATGAACCCTGAATGTCATCAAGCATCACACTCACCAACCTTGGATACGAAGGGCACAACAAATGAACCGCCTCTTCCCACAGATAATTCTATCAATGACTCGGACGATGTGGAGATGTTTGTGCCGGAGGTAGAACCTGACTTCACTCACGAACAGCTGCTGTCCAGACGTCGTATTTCACCCGACAAATTGACTGACGCACTATACCGTAGCTGGTTAGCGCTCATCCCAACCCTCGTTCAGCCCCAAGTCCAATATACCACACGGACACAGGGCCGACCCTTGGAAAGAGTCAATGAAGTCATATCTGTGTGCACCACTCTCAAATGCGCAGGGAAATGAACGACTTTGATTTGTTTGTTTTTTGACTGTAAGTCCTCAATCACACACTAGCAATGATGTTTAAATATCAATAGGATTCACATCTGTTGATGTTTTGAGCTGCGACTGCTCCTCACTTCCCCAAGTCCTCGTCCACCACAGCTTGTTCCCTACCTCACCATCCCAGCCTCGTATGGCAGTTTCCCTTGACTTATTGTCATTTTACCGAACGCTCTTCAAGCGCTCTTGTGATGCAATCAATGCACTTGCATCCACTCTCAAGACGTATTATTCCTGCCGAGGATTCCAAATGACAGACAAAAAAGTAGGTTCTACCATTGTGCTATTGAACATTAATAATGTTTTGCTCTAAAGGGTGAATTAATTTGTGAACCTTTTCATCGTGGGCTTGGCTACACAGTGCAATGGTTTGACATCTTGCAGATCGAGGTCAAATACCAACTTGAGTCACTTCTCCAGCGGTGTCAGGATCATGTTGCAGAGTTCAAAGCGTTATTGCCAGCCCCCAAGATATTTTCTGACAGACAGCAACCTCCAGAGCAGGCCCCTTCCCCAACCATCTTACACTGGAATCGATGTTTGCCCCTTCTTGTCCAGTGGTGCCCTGTGTGTTTCGGTGGTGTATTGTATGGCAAATCTACTGACAATGGTGATGATATACATATCACGACAGATGGAAATTTCCACCACCGCCATTGGCGCTCTGCAGGCAACTGTCCACCATTCTACAACCCAACATACTTTCTCCCTAAGGATTTTGTTGATCAAGTTGGCCGCCGGATAGATTCCCAACGTAAGCATCCTCCTAAGGCACGTAAGCTTGTTGTACCCGACGAAGCCATTGATTTATGTGAAAACACTTACGAGGCTGCTGATGGGAAAAAGCAGAAGGCTGCTATGGACAGTTTCGATGATATGGGGGTTATGGCTCTTATATGTCGCCACGACATTCCTTTATTTTTTGCTAACATAGATTCACCCGGCGAGCAACAGAAATATTCTGTTGCTCTTCTCCAATACTTATTTTTGTTGCTGCCCCCTCAGGCAACCATTGTCGCCTTATACGATGTCGGGTGTGTTCTCACGCGGTCACTTTCAAAGGTAGATTTGTCAGTCTTTATTTGTTTCCCTGTGCTTATTGGAGGTTAGTATGAAATCCTTCCAGAAGATATCACAAGCCGCCTCCGATTTGCCACAACGGCAATGCACACATATGGACATGAATGGGCATGTCAATTGGTATATAATCCATGCATCTGCGTTGGACTTGGGTTGTCAGACGGAGAAGGAACCAAAAGACTTTGGTCACGGTTTGTTCGGCTGATCGGTGTCGAGAAATCCTCATCGGTGAGAATCTTTTTCATTCCGTTATTAACCTACCGATCTTTGGATGCCTTCTAGTGTCATCGTCGTATATGGCTGATTGATCACCAGGTGGCTGCAATAGGCTTAGAGATGCATGGGGACCTTGGCGACTGGATTAAGCGACGTCTGAAACGCAGTGTCAACGATCAAGGGTCAACTGCACAAGACATTCTGGACCAATGTGAAATACCCATCAAGGAGTTGAAGTCCCAATGGTTGCATCAACAGGAATCTCAGTTTTCGATTCGAGCATGTAAGTACATTCACGCTACATATAGCCACTCATTAAATTGTTCTTTAAGATGCCCCTGCTCATTTGAGGAAAGAGCTTGACACGGTGCTAGGTCTACAAGCCGATCTCAATATTTCGAACCAAGCACTGCAGGCTATGAGGGTCATGCTCACGAAAGAGTCGCACTCTGATGACACACTTGAGGCTCTAGAGAGCCTCAAGAGAGGTCATGATCGCTTGATGGACAAAGTCGAAGTTCTATATTCATCTCTCAACATCCATGATAATTTTCCAGAGCTTAAGGGAATTGACCTTGATTTTGTTTGCATCCTGTTGATGGCATGGGACCTCAAAATCAATATTCGCAGACGTGCCATCACCAGCTTCTTCGGGTGGGACAAGTTAGATCGGGCTGTTGGCAGTGCTCAACAAGCATTAGGTAACATGTCCAGCCCCCTTCTCATTCTATTTGATCGTTAATATCTCTCAGGAATGAAACTGCATCAACAGACACGGAAGGCTATCACTAAACGTCAACCTGCCCTGATGACGGCTATATGCAAATTCAATTCATACTGTGAACAGTTAGATTCGCTCTATGATCCGTCTTGCACAATTCCTTTACCTACTCCCCTCCCCACCAAACTTACTGAACTCCGTGCCGATCCTACACTCATGGAGGACGTGTGGATCACTCCATCTATTGGGGAGGTCCCATGGTGGTTGGATGATACGGACATTAGAGATGGCATCCGTGCTCTTCTTAAATGTGATTGATGCAGGGAAGAACAGGTGCGCCTTGGCACCGAAGCTGATAACCTTTGTCGATTTTTCAGGGAAGAGCTTGCAGCACTCGAGTTTGCTCTTCGCATCCCAGAATGTAGGTAAATTCGTTCAACTCCAGTCTTCTTTTCTGATGGGGTTCCAGGTGAGCTTTTTACAGCCACCCTGGAACAGCACCGGTCTAACTTCCTTTGGCTTCAATCACACTGGAGCAACTCGCTTGTGTCTTCATTATGGTTCACTACCCAGGTTAAGGAAGCTGTAGACATTGTGGCTACCCTCTCAGGAGGCTCTCGGAGCACTGCCCTTCATTGGATCCATACTACAAGGCTCACCATACCCGATCTTGACGGTGAAGATGAGCTGGTGTCTGCTGACCTTGATGACCCACCACAGATTGGCTCGGAACAAGCCACACTCGCTGATATTCTTGAGCGACAGATGGGCACGTTAATGGACGATGACACCGAGTCAACTGACATAGGCTATGACATTAAAGCCACCATCATGTGGGAGCTTCCTAAGGTACATTGGTTAACTTAAAATTCAATATCATATCACTGATGCCCCTCACTAGGTTTTACTGGTTGACGATCTTTGTGTCCCAGTTCAAGAGCAGGACAATAATGTCCCCAACACACTCGTCACACGTATCCGACCTCTGTGTGATGGATTCCCTCATCAAATATTTGATCCCAAAGACATCAAATTGCTCTGCTCTCCAACAGCGTGTCTCAACAACATGTGTATTAACAGCTGTGCTGCCCTGCTCTACTCTGAACTAAAAGCCCCAACCCTCTCTTGCACAATATTCTCTACCCACAACCTCCTGCGCATCCGTTACAATGCCCCCAATGATATCATTTGGTGGAATGTTTCATGGACACGTTACTGGGAGAAGGACGTATGGGTCCTTCCGATACACCAGCCCTCTGACTCGATTGGACATTGGGTAATTTGTGTGATTCATGTCTTCAATAAGGAATTACACCTTTTTGATAGCCTCAGTGAAAAAAAAACCTTGGAAAACCGACATCAAAGTAAGTTCATCTTCATGTGACTGAGTGACTTACTGATGGTGAAGAAGGACATTATGAGATTAATTGCTCGGTTGTTCGCCATGGCCAATAAACACGGCCATCACATTCTGACTGACCTCTTGGGATGGGTTGCTCGACCTCTCAATGTGAGTCCTATATTTAACAGATATTAACCGCTCTGATGTCATTCATTGTAGACCCAGTGTCTCCAACATAACAGTTACGACTGTGGTCTTTGGGTTCTAGTGACACTCACTGCGGTACTCTGCAGGCGGCATGTTACGGGATTGCGGGAGGATGATATACATTGTCTGCGTCATTATCTCTGCACTCTCACTCTTTCCTTACCATCAGCTGTGCAATAGCAAATTTCACGATAAAATCAAAACTTCTATCTACATGTATGGATTCTCCCCGCTAGCTAACAAATCCTCCTCCTGTTGATAGTTCAAGATCTTCCTCGCTTGCCACTGCTGATAACATTTTGCCATGACCTTCTCCCTTGTGCATTCCTGCAAGGTTGTGATGCATGCATCAAGTTCAATCCAGCCATCAATCAAAGTCTTTCATGCCTCTTGAATCTCCTTTAGAATACCAGCAATATCTCCTGCGTTAAACATGACTGCACAACGAGCGCAAGACTCCCTTAACTGACACAACTGACATCCGTGCATCACATCTAGAAGGTTCTGAGTGAACCGCTCTTCGTCTGGCGTCCGCAGTGGAGGTGCATATTTGTAGGGAGGGGGCTTGTCCCACTGTGAGAGGTCAGACTCGTCAATCAAGTCCGAACCAGCGAGGGATTGGCGAAATAGATATGAATTTGGTAGGGCAAGAGTTGCAAATGCAAGCAGAGTTATTTCAAGAGGCTGTGACTCATTCTTGGGTGCTGTTCGTCATCCGCATTGACCATGATGCTTGGCATATGCATGAGCATTCTGAGCTTGTTGAGCCGTTTTTGCTCTGCAATATGAATGAGCGAATACCAGGCTTACAATTGTTCCAAGTAACTCGCTGTTCTGTCCGAGTGTATGACACCTGCTGTTGACGTCGTGCTGCCATTTTGTCTGCTAAAGTAAAGTACTTGGCTTTGCGTCCCATAGTTGGGAAAAGAGTGGTGTCGGTCAAATTCAACACGAAATACACACGAGGTTTGTATTGTAATGATGCCAGCTAACCAGACAAACTCGGTACATGGTTTCAACACGATGTAATTGCTTAGAATTTGGTACCAATGGGATGGGGCGTGTTACTGCAATCATTGAGGACCGTTGTGGGAGGTCTGTGCACAAAACTTATTTGCACGTTCATGTTTTACAGTGAGCGTGATCTGTATCTTCAATTTCATTGGCTCTCATTTGCTCTCATAACATATCCAGTGCCTCTCGGTATTCAAGCAAGCCTCAGTAAACACGCAATACCCTCTCAAGGCTCTATCTCTTTGGGGTATTCTACAAGGTCCAGTATCTTGGGTCTCATCTCGTCACTTTTTTTTTAAATTTGTTTAGTGTGTTCCGCGGTATTATGTGCACTGTTGGGACATGGTCTGGAGGCACACCAATTGGCCGGAGGATGAAATTTTCTATAAGTATGGGGCCTTGGTACATTTTCTACTCGCCTTTGGTGTCCCGCTACCTCTCAGTGACAATATTCTCTTCCCTCTCTGAAGGGTCTCCCTAGATGGATCACCATCTGCGCATCCCCCCTTTCCCCCCCTCTCACAATCTATCCTTCTAGACTTTGTGAGTGTCCTCTGTCATCACATTCTTCAATTTCTCTCTGAATCATACTGACAGGATTGCTCTGATAGATTGTTTGTGAATAAACAAGTCCTCGTCATTCACATCAGTGTTAACTGTACATCCTTCTTCCAAAAAAAGGTGATTCTTAAATACTCCAAAAAATCGTGTTGTTGACCCAGCCACAGATATGACCCAACAAATGGCAGACCAATTTGGTGCCGCAATATACTCTCCCCCTCCCGGCTACATGGACTTGTCTTCTGTGGTACCTGGCGATGATTATATCCACGAGCAGTTTGGCAGCGGCCGTCGACATCTATCACCTCTTCCTGAACTCACCCCAACAAGACTTAGAACTAACATCAAGGCAACCTCACGGGATATCAGTATCACAAGGGAGGCCAATATTTGTCGCCAAGCACCTCCAATACCTTCCCCTCAACTTGTGCAGTCTGCTTCCCCCCTGACCTCTCTTGCTGACGGTCACGGTGTCACCACGAGTAGTGATACGTCTTCGCTCACACTCCCACATGTGAATAGTCGCCACTCCTCTCCCTTGCCAGGTGGCAGTGGTGCAAGCAGCAACTCGTCATCACTCCCACTTCCGCTTCCAAACAGCCATCAGACCTCTCCCTTTTCTGCTGGTCCTGTGAGCAGCGATACCGCATCACTCCAACTGAGTCACCACTCCTCACCCTTTCTGGGTGATCCTCCTTCACAACACCCTGCGCACCTCAATGACCTTTTTTATGCTCGTTCAAGCACGCAGCCTCCATGGCCAGGTCATGATACCACCCACAACTTTAATTTTATGGTAGATGACTCATTTCCCTCTACGCTACTCTCAGACCCAGTACCGGGAATGACTGCAGCTGGTGGTCAGAATGAGACACAGTGGGCCAACCCTCCACCTCCCCTCAATCTCATCCCTCCAACACCATTGAAGGATATCGACGATACGGCTCCACATAGCACCCAAGGCAGTAACACATTTACCAGGGCGTCTAGTCAACAATTGGACTTAAGCTACTACCCCTCCAATGCCCGCACTCGAGAGCAGTTCCCAGAAGAGAACCCGAACCTCATTGATCGTGAATCTAGTTCGCAGGAGCAATCATTGACCAGACAGAGGTCATCAGAGACCAACGACAAGCTTGAAGAAGGGTTTGCACTGATTGATCGCACATTTAATGATTTATCTAAGTCTACCATGATGCTGACCAATCAGGTGATCAACACATACCTAAAGAGTCGTGGACAAGAGGTTCACAGCATCAACTATTGGAACATATATGCAAACTACTTCAAGGAGTACAAGGAGCAAGAGCTTGCGCGGCTCACCACAGGAGGATCAGAGAACGATAAAGGTAAAGGAAAAGAGATCGCAAATGTAGAGGTTCATGGCACACCAGGTAATTAAAAATAGATATGTAGTCTGTCGCTGTCTGACTTATCATCCAGGTACAGCCGTGCAAAGACTCTGCTATGAAAAATTCAAGGAGGCATTCCCCAATGACTACCAGGATATTCTCAGTGCATATAGCGAAGCGCATCACATAGGCACTGCTTCAACTCTCAATCAGTGTCTTCAGTCCTTCCAGAAGCTCTATAGACGAGTGGCAAGCTTGGTATGGCATCTCGTTGTGAGGATTGAGAACTAGCTAACATTGACCTTAGCTCGATTCTGCTTCAACAAGATTTGGTTTTGAGTCAGCTATTGTATTGTGTGGCAACATAGTCAACCAGGATGCCTCTCTAGGTCATGTACATACGACGCCGGCTGCTGCAGGGGTAAGTCTCTGCCAACAAACTTCAACTCGTGTTTATAAAATTATTCTATCAGTTCTTTGAGACGCGCTGCCATGCCAATGACGATACCATCATTGGACACCTGAAAGCTCATGTATTGTAGGTCTCGGTCGGCATCACTCTACTCACTTCGCATGTTGATCACTTTCAACAGCAATGAAACATCACTATCAGTGGTTGAGGATGCATTCAAGGAGGTCAAAGACGACATATGCGAAGTAGATACTGTGTCATCCCCGAAGGATGACACCTCCAAGAATCAACTTAGCGGGGGTTGAGAGGATTCGCTCAAGTGGCTCAAGCAGGAACTCAGCCGACAAGTTGGTTAGTCTTTTTTTTGGACATTCTTTTTATACTGTGGTTCATGAAATGGCTACACTAGAAAATCTGGATGGGAAGTTTGCCTCTTTCAAAAACTTTCCATGGATCACGATGCCCAGTGCGCTCACAAATGAAAACCTTTGCATCAAGGGATATCTGGCACATAAATGTCTCTTACCTGGGGAATACCACAACATTAACTCAAAGAGCAAGGGTATCGGAGGGCTGACCCAGAAGGAAGTCCTTATACTTGTAGAGGCTCTGAAGGCAGGAACAATGTATGTGGCTAAGGTACCGAAAATGTCATGAGGTATGTTCAAAGTCGTTGGTGCTGCAACAACACTTTCATTAATTCAACATTTTAGCCATGCTCATTGCATCAGAAATCCCCGTAATCACTGGTGAATCACCTCCTTCAGACTACTTTCATTCTGGTGCAAAACGGATGTTTGCCAACCATCATACAGATTATAACGGGCCTTCTCGGATGAAGATCAGCGCTGCAACCACCAAAGTCAAGAAGACCGAAGACACCCGCAAAATGCCCTCGACTTCTCAGCAACAGGAATTGCAGGCTGATACAACTGAACGTCTACCATTGAAACCTCTTCCTGCACGCCCATTTGTAGTGGTTCCTCGGCCTTTGCCAGCTGCCGCAATTGAATTTCTGACCTCCAAGTCCAACACTGAGCCTCGCAAGATAATCCCTGAAATGGAATTTGAAGACACAGCTCATGGGAAAAAGAGGAAGGTGGTAGCTAGTAGGCTACCTCAAGAGTCAAAGAGGCGAGCACCATCTGTAGAGGATGAAGTGGAGCTCAATGTGGGGAAGAAATGTGTGAAGGCGAAGGGCAAGGAGAAGGTGAAGGTCCAAGCAATTGCGCCATTGGCTGCTCCCGAGTTATCTCCCACAAAGGGTGGTCCCTTGTCACCACTGACTGTATCATCTTCAAGTGACGAGCCACTTGCTCGTGCAGGAACAGTTCAACGTGCCAAGAGACTTCGAGATGGTCCTGTCAAACCATGCCCTGTCAAACCACGCCCTGTCAAACGAGGATCTCAGCAGACTCAGAGCCGCGCACATCGCATGATGTACAGTGAGGAGTCGGAAGAGGGCGACAACAACGTCAATGAGGAGCCCACCGATAAGGCCACAGATGGTCCTCATGATCATGAGGACACATCACAAGATAACATGATGGATCACCAGGACTCAGATGGTGCTGCCAGTCATCATGCTCCAGTGCAGCCACAAATCCCTCAGCCTGGACCATCATCTGAAGTTTCACATGAAGCTCCCCATCAGCCTTGTCTCGCTGATTCACATAGCCGTGACCCTCATGACCCTCCCCAGAGCCTCTCTAAAGAGAGCATTCAGAACCCTCCTGAGCCTGTCCAGTGTACACCTCGTGTACCTCTCTCACACAATCTCCCAGAGCAACTACACCTTGAGTCCCGTGAGCTGTCCCACGAGCCTATCATTCGCACAGGAGGCCGGCATGAGCCTACTGAACATGGGTATGACCCTCACGATATTCGTGACCCTTTGGACACACGCAACTTTCACTGTCCTCATGACCCTATTCAGTATCACCATCGTGATTATGTGTGTGATACATCTCCTTAGGACTGTGATGCAGTCCATGCATGCGACACCTTCTATTGCCGAGGTGGTCATCTTCAAGACAACTTCCATCCTGCAAACTTCCATGATTCACGCATCGGAGAGCGTGATGATACTCCTCCAGTATATCCCAGTTGCTATAGCCCCATTCCCAATCACATGTATGCCCATGAAGTTGAAGAACGTCAGCGGCTCCCTCACTACCATGACAATGTGGGAAGGGCAAGGGGGTATCCGGATAGGCAAGGACCATGGAGGAGATACCAAGACCCATGCGACAACCGCCTGAGCCAGAGCTACCCACCCTCTCCAAACGCTCACCCTGCGCCATCCTCATCGTAGATGCTGGGTCAGCGCCATCTTTCCTTTCTTTAATTTATTTTCACACTACAGTGCACTGTCTGTCCTTTTATTTTCACGCTACTTTGTTTGGCCAGCACTATCTTTCCTTTCCTTTAATTTATTTTCACACAACAGTGCACCGTCTGTCATTTTCTTTAATTTATTTTCATGCTACTTTGTTTTGCACTGAGTTGATCTTCCTATACTGACTCCTGCTTGGCATCTCATACTACTGTGATGTTCCCCTTGTCATTTGTATTGATTGAGTAGTGAGTGTGATTGACTCATACATAGTAGGGTAGTATGTACGAGGCCAAGCTAAAAAAACTTGGCAGATGAAGCTGTGCGCAGACTGTGAGATCTGATGGCATTGCCCAGGCCAGAGTGTTGGTAGCTTGGGTCCACCCGATGAACAATGTTAATGAAGGCTCAGGCAAGATGTCGCTGAGTGCGGAGGTAAGGCTTCCTTGTTCCGAGTTGTTCCGATTGTTTTCCCTTCACAACAATAGGCTATGGGGAGGCTCATGTGGGTCTGAAGAAAAAAAAGAATTCCACTGGAGTCGAACTGGGGAGCAGGGCGTTGCAAAGATTATTGTGCGATGATGTCATATACCTGATCCGACCACCCTAATATCAATATCCGCTCCGCTTTCCGACCCCCTCCACTCCATTCATCCTCCGCTCCACTCAACTGCTCAACTGGTCCCCTCCCATAACATCTCCATTCAACTGGACCTCTTTCCCCTTTTAGATATATGCTTTCCTTTTCGGTACTTAGACCATTACTTCCGGATCACCGGTAATTCCTATTACCACTCGATCACTGATCCGACGCGTACATATTGATATCCACCCCGACTTATGTCTTTCCTATGTAAAGTACTTACAAATGATATCCTTGGTACATAGCTTTACTACATAGTTATCCTGGTCACTGCCTCATACATAGAAGTATATAACGTATCATGTACTTAGATATTTTTCCTTAGTCTTAATATTACTTGTCTTCTCGCAGTTACATCTTGTGAGAATTCTCAGTAGGACCTTGCCTCCTCTGGACACAAGTCTCAACTTGTCGTCACCTCCGACCCTCCGATCCCCCGCTCCGACTTAGAGCCGTGCTCTAAGCCTTTTCCACATACTCCGCCCCTATCCAATATTCTCCCTTGCCCCTCTGCATCATCCTCCGCCTTCTCTGCCCCTGCCAAACATTCCCCTGCTCCTATCCACCCTCCACATCATCCCCCGTCTTCTCCGCTCCGCTCCTAGTCGGCCCACCACTAGCAGCTCTTACTCCCCGATCCTCAAAGCAGACCAAAGCGGTCCATTCATCCTATCGTCGGACAACGTCGGACCCGCTCCAAATTCGGGGCACATACTCAGCTAAGGGCGCAGCGCAAGAGCTGAAGCCAAGCCCCGACCCCTCTGCCTCTTGAGCTGGCATGGTACCTAACAGATGACCATAACGCTATGAGTACTTCCATACATAACACATCACATGCTATAGAGTATCATAATGTTACCTACGCGCCCTCTCAAAAATTTGTTGTCCTCATCCTGGTCCTGCTCGTGTGTCTCATGCACTACGCCCTCATCCTGCTCCTGCGCTGCTGACTCGTGTGGCTCTGTCTCCTGCACCACGTCCAAAGCTATGTGTTGAAGTGCCACTTGCCCAACTCTCCTGGCAGTCGGCATTTAATCCAGCACTGCTCCCACTTTTACCGGTAGGTAAACCCAACATTGATGGACTCATCCCAGATATATCCTGCCTTGGGCAGGCTTCACAATGTTCTGATGGTGCCACCCACGAGGAAGATGAAGTGGAGGTCAATGAGCTGTTTGGGACCCAGGGAAGTAAAGTTGTGCATGCTGTATAATAGTGTCATCTGCTTTTTTTCCAATTGTTCCCCCCATTTAAGTTTTGATACGTACTCTGTGTGCCTCTCATACTGGATTGTTTCCCTTTTCTTGCTGGTGTTTTTGACTCTTTGTTTAGTCTGGCTCTGACGCTGCGAAGGCAATATACAAGTTCAGGAGTCAGGACCCTTCTCAAATTGATGGGGCTCTTCGCTCCCCTTGTCTAACAAACGTGAGAACCCTACAAGGAACGCTGTGAGTGAACCCTATGGTCTGCGGTACTTAAATCACACTGCCATGATGTTCATAATGGTACCCAGTCCTGTTCCCTTTGCCACTTTACCATAACTCCTTCCTCAGTGAATGCATTGATGGATTCTCGGCGCCATCACGCCTTACCGAAGGCTCCCACAACCCTGGTGAACTTGTCCTGGTTAGATCTTGCTTGTTGCAAGAATACAACAGTATGAAACCATAATGCTTGCATGGAAGTTGACAGCACTAAAATTTTAATCGTGAAGGCGTCAATTTCTCTAACATTCACAGCTGAATATGTGTTCGAGTCTCATGCCAACGTCATTGAGAATAAACCGTCAATCATCATCAACGTCGAGTACCCGCCATGCTTGAGTGGCACAGATTTTCTGCACCAAATTGTCGATCCTCTTATGGCCAATGCGATGCTGGAAATGAAGGGTAGATTTTCTGACGTTGCAGAAGCCGTCCGCACAAAGGTATTTGTATCTGTTAAAGAATTTCTGAATTGGCTAATGCTATGCTTGCGAAGGTCTTTACGGATGTGAAATGGAGCACTCAATCTTCTTTGCAGTTGTCGTGTATAATAAGATCATCTCCAGGATGTTCTGGATGTTCTGCACAGCCAACGAGTGTAATTCCAGCACCTCCCAGTCCTTCGGCTCGGATGTCGGCACAAAATTCCTCGAGCATCATTCCACGTTCTCCCACAACACTACCTCAAAGCCAGATCCCAGTGGCTAGGCATGTCAGCAGCATGCAGCCTTTGGCACCACCTCCACGACTCGGGCGAGCCCTTCAAGTTGGCCCATATACTTCTCGGACGCTGTCTAGAGAGCCTGTGCAATGTGGGCGGAGAGTTGACAGTGTAGCAAGCACTACACCTACCCCTCTTGCTCGCGGTAGAGTGCAGGACGCCACACCAAGTCATAGTACTACACAATCCAACGGTGCGTATTTTTTTAAAATTGTCCAAAGTTCCTATCTGCTTTCATTCCTATCTACATTCTTCCAGTTGCACGATGCTGATTCCTTATGCCAGGGCATGCCAGATCAGAACACTTAGGTCATGGAGCCCGGGTGCACATTGTGCTGCTGGCACTTCCTGGAAATGTATTCACTGCAGGTCATCGTGGCGGTGTGCACAGGCATGCACAAGGTGTTTCGCTAACAACCGAGCACCTTCCATTGGACCCTCCTCCGCCATATTGTGGTCCCCAGCATGGACACTGTATTTATGTCATGACCACCAATGGTGTGACAGTAACCACTAGTGCTGATGCTACTGGTGGGCAATATGAATAAGTATGTGGGGGATGATTGAAATGAATTGTTCTGATTTTCGAGGTCCATTGCTGTCACATTTTCATGTTTTCATGGCTCTTTTATTGTAAACTAATGACATTGTAGTCCTTGTTACATAGGAACTCACAATTGATCGAGCCTCTCACAATGATGTCCTGACCCTCTTAACGAATGACACGAACACATGAACTCTGAGTCTTCACCCTAACAAATGATGTCCTGACCCTCTTAGCAACAATGATGAGGACACATGAACTCTGAGTTTTCGCCGCAGCATTGCAATGCAGGAGTTGTCAATGGGGCAGGTATTAGATGACTCGATGAGTGGCTGAAGAGGTGAAGGATGGATAGCCGAAACACTGAGGGTGCCGAGGGTGCAAACAGAAATCAAACAACAAGATTGCCATAGACATAACATACATATTAGCTACAACAAACATAACTACTATCATTGAAGATTTGAGGCTCGTTGACTGTGATCGAGCCTCTGCAGGAGGGAGAGCTGGAGCACTCGTGAAACAGTATACCTCTGTGTAGATGTACGAGAGGGTTGCAGAGACCTCTCAGGGAATTAGGTGAGGACCTCGCAGGAGAGCCAGGTCTGTTAGATGGGTTTTGTCCTACAATGAAACCCATTCTAACAGACCATGGGAACCTCTTTGAAGTGGTGCCAAGGGTGAAATAAGTTGAAATAAGCAATGTGTGAATTTACTGATGCAGGGATCCTGGCCTCCAAGAAAACCAATGTGATGCAAACATTTACAGACCAACTGGATCGGTAACTTGCATCACATCTAAACCATCGCACAAACAAAAAATCCACTTGGCGTGGTTTTTCCATGGATGCGTCATTGCGGTCCCTAGTGTGTTTGCTTTGTGTTTGCTCTACTCAACATATGTTAAATTCCCAATTTGCATCAAACAGATATCAATAACATGTCGAATATCACGTGTTCTTGTCTGATCTTTCTTTCTCCAATATTTACCATGGCTCACCACGAACGATCCGACTCTATTTCATTGGCTCCGTCTTCTGTATCTTTGGGATCTAGCTGATCATCTATGAGTTCCAATGATTCTAGAGTAAGTACTCCCCCTAGCACACCACCGCCTCAGATACCCAGCAGACGTGGAAGGGATGCCTCTTGACCACATATATGCATGCTTTGACCACAAGCAGGCCTCCACACCATTGCAACCATTGATGACAACTATTCAAGTCCCACTTTCTGTACACTGTCCCTGATCCTCAAGCTTCTCCACTCAGAGGATCGCCTAAGGATACATTCATCCGGTAACTACAGGTACATTTGCTGTCATAAATCCAATCTATTGAATTCTAACATGTTTGAAATGTTTCGCGATGCACATGTCAACGTCAAACAACGAAGTGTTCAACACTGTCGTTCCCTCAGGCTTGGGATCTCTCCTCAGTGGCACCACTGACTCATATACCCCCATCCGACTCCTTCACGCGACCTTTGATCTCAAGTCATGTACCTCCCTTATTCCCAGGATATGGGGCTGAGCGCTGATGCCAAAATGTCAGTGCCCTCACACCCTCATATAACACCGGGACACGCTGGACACTGGACTCATTTCTGGCCCCTCATCTGTTGTACCTCCCCTGAGTATACTGAAGGTCATCATTAAGTAATCTTCTGTTTGCTTGTCATTTACATTTGTCTCTTTCATGTCTTTACCAGATGTACAACTCGCCATTTATGTGTTCTGCCTGCTCATACTACTCCCCCTCCTATGTGGTTGGTTGGTTTAAACCATTCTTTTTATACCCCTTGCCATCTCGACACACTTGCTGGAGGCTTTGTCCTCTGAGGCGAGCATGAGGACGGCAACTACCATTACAGATCATCAAGGCAACTTTGACCATACATGTTACGCGTAACCTCTCGGATGAGATCCGGCGGCACTAAACCCGCAAGGGGTGTTCAAAGTGTGGCCTTCGGCGCTAGCCCAGCAAGGAGCTTGCCTGCGCTAGGTCTGAATAAGGGTGGAGACCCTTACTTGCATAGAGTTGATTGGAGTTTCTCAAGGATATGATCCAAGAGACGGAGTTCAGCTCAAGAGGATCGTCTCAAGAGAAGATGGTTCTTTGTACAGAGGGAGTTCTCTTTAAGCAAGAGAAGTTCAGACCCAACGACAAGATCAGATGTGAACCGAGTAGATTCAAGTTAGAGAATCTATCTACAGTACAGTGAGATATATATATGTAAAGGTGATATACCGGTGGAACGGTAAGGGTACAGGGTACGGAGACAGTTACCGAAGTATCAGTAAGGGTTAAGGGTATGTATGAGTCACATACCGGAAAGGGTAAGTGGTACCGGTTGAACGGTAAGGGCAAAGGGCATGGGGAATCCCCATCAATGAGGGAACCGAGACAAGGGAAAGGGGCATAGGGTTGGAAGCGAGAGCTTCTTGTGTTTCAGAACGACGGGATCAAGAAGAAAGAGATAGAAATAGAATCGTAACCATGGTCTGGGTCCAGACGAGTCCGAAGAATGAAATGACACATGTAACGCTCATGTTACTGTAACAATACAGTGACCTGTACCATACTGTCGAACATTTCAAATGCATTGTACAACATATGGTACAGTACGGGTAGTACCCGTAAGCCCACCGTAAATTGTATGGCTGTAACCGTATATGGTTACAGTGACCATCCCTATACGCAGCTACCACTATTAGATTATTAGATTCTACTGTACCGCATGTATTTGAATACCTAAATGATAGGTGGTTATTATGGGATATCAGCGTGATTTGATGTTATAACTGAATATAAGAGAATATAATCTTAGAGCCCTCTGGATCATGGTGGCGAGTATATCACGCGGTCTGGAACGTGGCTGTGACCATATCACAAAAATCGATTCGGTATATTGGTATGTATTCTAGGCTCTGTTATAGATACTAGTCACAGTCGTTACAGCGTGTTACAGTGGTTACATGTGTATATATGGCTATATATACGTTGGGGAGTTTTGCTGATGTAATTTACAGGTGCTAATTTGCACTGTTAATTAACACTAATTTATTAATTTGAGTTAATTTGATTACATAATAAGGCTCTAAGACCATACACTCGAATTTCGAAAATACAAGATCGTTCAATTTATGTCTTCGACGCATCAAGACCTTTAAACAGTTGCTTTCTATGACACGACAAAAGCAACTCTCGATTTCATCCTTGATTTCTACTGGCTCGTGCCATCTTGGATTCAGCACTTCAATATGTGCTGCTCGTGAAGAGACACCGTATGCTGTGCTTCCACTTGGCTGAGTCCGCATGCCCTGCTCCTAGCTATAGTACACAACTAGTACTTCTTATAAGCTTGACATGCATCACTGTCTTCTCATGACTGAGATCCTCGAAGTCATATTCCATTTTGTGTTCAGTGAATGGGAAGACTCAATTCAAGTTCTTAATGACAGATCACCATTGCCTACACTCTTACTGTCTCCGTACACTCAAGGCCGCTCCCTTCTCCACATCGCACTCACATACCGTGTATTTTTCGACCCAGCACTCAATGTCCTTTATTCTCGCATGGTTGTCACTCGCCCGAAGTCTCCTCTGATTCATGAACGGTTGACTTTCATATGCACACCTTTCCCAACAGATTGTGAACTGTATTTGCGGGCATTGGTCCTCCAAGCTGCATGTGTCCAGATCCTCTTCAATCCTTGGTTCAACGACAACTTGAACGACACGTTCAATGCATTCATTCTTGCAAACACGCCAAAAGACGTCCCGCTCTTTCCGAGGCTGCACGAGCTCGCATGGTTCGACATGCATCTCACCTCCATCCCAGCCCTCAGCCTCCTCCTACCCACCCTCGAGACCCTTTATATCGGAGTGTCATCCCCTCCATTCCACAAGGCTATCATCCCACACCTTCATACTGCCGCACCGCGCCTCAAAGCTCTTGAGTTCATGGGACTCAACACCATCTGCAACGACCCCTCGGACATGAAGTCGCTTATTCCCAGCTATTCTGGGGGTCTCATAGAGATGTCGTTCGGAGGCTGCAACATATCAAGCAACCTGCTCCATGTCATCGCCACATGGCCACGCCTTCGGTGGCTCACCATGGTGCTGGACTCTAAAAGCATCCCTACCGTACCTTTTAATGTGCCCCAGCCCTTTCCTGCACTCCATCACCTGCATATCTTATACGAGGATCTGAGAATTTCCGAATCTTTCCTGTGTGCTATCTGGACGGATTCTGATATGTGTTCCTTCAGGCGCCCCAATCTCAAAAAAAACAGATCGATGCATGCAAATGCAGCCCAGACAACGTCTGGCATTCCTCAGCATTCTCACCTGCGCAAAGCTAGAGCACATCATTCTCGCCCAGACCTGTGTCCAGAGCGTGTGGTTCTGCCACAGGACTTCATCCATTGAGCTTCACCCCCTCCTCATGCGCCCTACCTCTCTTGCAGACCTCAAGACCCTCATCATCTCCGGCGCCCACGCCATACCCATCGTACTTAATGACACCAACATCCTCATGCTTGCTCGCACATGCCCATACCTTGAGATCCTTGATCTACGGGCGCGCAACATGCCCGTATCCCTGTATACCTTAGACACTCTTGTAAGGAGCTGCCATGAGCTACGCCGTGTCTCCATCCGCGTTGACATGGGGCTCAAAGCGCTCAGAGCAATGCCTCCCATCAACGACAACGATCAAGCGGGTCTGCAACCCAACTCGGCCCTGATCAAACTGGACGTCGGGAGTCGCCCATCGCATGCGTGGGTCCCTTGAAACCACCAATGGCGCCAGATTTGATGATGTCGATCCCACGGTTCCTGCACGCAATGGCGCCGCGCCTTGCAAGCATTGTGATGACCCCGAAAAACAGGACATTTGGGACTGTGCCTGGTGATGAGAGGTGGAAGATGGTGTCGAACACTTTGTCGACTATGGTGAAAGGTGCATAGTGGGACTGATGATTTTATGTTTCTGGGGGGATGGTTTAAATGGGCGTTTGGGCGGTGAGATTGTTAGGTGGCCAGGGGGATGTGTGCGCGCGAGGTGATGTGGGGTGAGTTTAGAAACATATTTTTTCCATGTACAATCATGTCTTTGTTGTAAAATGTCTGCCATTTTCTTCTGGGTCGCAATTCGGGAATAATCTGCATTTTTAGTAGGGTTTGTAGCGGCGGTCAACACTTCAGTGCCATCGGAAGATTTGCATATTTTGTCAAGTGTTTTCTTATTTCTTGATGGATCTGGGGTCTATTCTATTGGAGGTAGAAGCAGCCGACCCAATCCGCCATTCAAAGGTGAGCAAATATATCACCTCTCTCCCTGGCAGGTTGAATACGTATATCGCAGTGTAGTAACCTCTGACTGCATTCTTCTTGGCTGCTGCCGGAGTGAAATTATTGGTTGCTAGCCTGTACAGCATGGGGAGGTGAGTACCCGCCTTTCGATTCCAATACGTGCTAACGTTTAACAGGCATCATGGATCGAGGTGCATGGGTTCAGCTACACTGTAACCAAAACAACGGCACAAACGACGGCGGCTACAAATGACGGAACTACAGCTACTGTCAATGGCACCTTGCTGAGTTGATGTTGATCAATATGGTTGGTTCTGGATAGATTCGCTGCTGCTTGAGCAATGGGACCTTTGAATACCTAGGATGCAACATCCGTTCACCAATCGCGGATGATACATACCTGCTATTCCTCTGGCTGCAGGAGATCATATCATTGGTACTCACAATGCACTCCACCTCGTTAGTATGTACTACTCTCCTCCCTTGCTGTTGGATTCGCAGGTCTCAGACTCCGGAAATGCTCAAGATTATAACAGAGATCGACCTGGGCTGCCTGGGCACCCCACCTCAGTCGTTCAAAGTACCCTCGGGATTCATTCGGCCTGATGTGGGTCGAGCAAACGTCTGTGTCCCAAACACATCCATCGCATGTTTCCGACTTCATCCGAGGTACTACAAGTCTAGTGCTTCTCCCACATACAAGGAAAATGGCTCCGAGTAGTGCAGTTCCACACTGGTGCATCTGAAGATATTCGCCGAGCGACGCTGCAACCAGATGAGAGGTGTTGCTTGCTTTCAGCACCAAAATCAGTTTGTTCGTGTCCTACTGGTACATGGGGTCCGGCTGATTGTCTTGAACAAGACGCCTAGTTCATCACCACAGCCAGTTTAACACCATAGTTGCTAGCTCGCCCAGTTGTGTTTTCACAGGAATTTATCAGAATATGTTCCAGCTTTAAGCTAGCATGTCGATCTGGTCTGTAGGCGCATCAGTGTGAATGTTCTCCATCCATTCACTGACATCATACGCTGATCAGATCCCATCAATGTTTGAAATTCTGCTCTCCCTAAACCTAACTAGCTTTACCCAGTTGGATGGCAGGCATCATGTATGCTACTGAATGGTGCTGATGATGCGTTTCCAGACAATAATATGCCGCCTACCAAGCGAGCGATAGCTACTACCTCAGAGTAAGCCAGGCGTACAGGTTTGTCAAACAATAATCACCGACCTATGGCGGTGCTTTGGCTCTCATACCAAATATGTACAGTCTTCAAGCATGTTGCTTCATAGGACATATCTATAGTGGACACTTCAACAGCATGCTCATTGCCTGCCAATATTTAGTAAGTGATGTCTGCTTAACGCTCTACACTTAGCAGATCCTGACCTTCCACGAAGAGACCCAATTGAACCCAGAATTTTCTTGCGACCTCGATCGTTTTATCAACAGCGACCTTGTAATGTTTGCTTCATATAGGGAAGATGGCAAGTCTTGTACTCAATCATGTGCGTAGTCGTATTTACTCCTCGTCCGTGACTGGAGCATGTTCAGGTATTTATTTACGAACAGGTGATCTAAAGTGTATCCCATGTTTTGACTGCTATTGAACAGAGCTAAATCTTGCGTCTCTGTTCATCTCCTGTTTGATGTTGCTTGATATCAAAGCGAGAACATGCTATTGCTGGAGCACTCGGCAGAACGACGGTTCGATCTGGTAGGCTTGGTGATCTCGGGCAGAACCTGCTTACTCCCTGTCAATAGTCACCCCATATCGTTCAATATATCATTTGTCAATTGACAATGCATTGCCAAAGCTATGTTGTCAACTCGGGCCATCCGTGTTTACCACGGCCTACGATCTCATTTTCCAGGACAATGCCTTGATTTTCCAGCAGTATGGGGATCACTTCTGCCGGCCCCGAAGGACGGTTCATGAGCTGTTTGAGCAGTTCGAGGAACGTGCAGGCCGACAGAAGGAGACTCTGTGCTTTGTGAGAATGTGTTGAAGGTACCGAATGGGCTGGCGGGTGGTGTACACAAGTAGGTTTAGAAATTAGATATTGCATAGCTTCTTTGGAGATCAATTTTATACAGGATAACTAGCACAATAATCTTTGGGTCTCATAGGACACAATGTTCAAGAAGGCAATGATCATTTCATGGAGTTAGCTGACTTGTGCAATCTGACACACATCAATCAACTCCATGTGGATGGTCAAGGAGGACAATCGTCAAAAAAAATCGAGCGTACTAGGGATATATGAGAACCCCTTGATGTCTGTAGTGCATTGCAGATGCACACAAGAATTATTGTGGCTAGACAAGCGTTGTAGCTTATTTTGCCCCAGCAGAGGTTGCTGGCTAGGGTTGGCATCCCATTCGCTCCTCTTGATAGCTGGAACTGTCATTTACAGTCATTGCCTATACTAGACCTTGGAGGAATACAGACATGGCAAGATGTTGTGCTGTCCTGAGGCTGTGAGGTCAATGCAAAATAGACAGGCTGGCAGGAAATCGTGAAGAAAATGATGGATCGTGCAGCTGCCAGCAGGTCATGACTATCAAGATATATAAATAATAGGAAGATGCACGTGGCACAAGTCACGGTCCTGGGCACTTTGCCTGCACAGCATGTTTGCTTGAAGCTGTGAAGAGAACATGAGAATAACGCACCTTAGTGGACGACCTCGTGCAACTCTCTCGACTTCAAACCAAACATCCACTTCCTCAGCTATAAGTTCATCCCTTTCATTCTTCCGTGGAGCGAGTCTGCATCAAGGTCTTCTGAGTAGTACCTGCAGTGAGTGATGCTCTCAGCGCTTCGGCCAGGAATGGCTGAGGTAAGAAACAAGGACACTGACCACAATCTGAGATCCAGAAAGATCTCCTACGAGCAACTCCTGCGCAGACATCTCAAAGCCACTGAGTGCATCAGGATTGAATTCTTCTAAACAGGACCTCTCATGAGTGATTCCTCATGCACTTCTATTAGCAGATATTCAGGTGGTAACAGATATGCTTGTTCACTCACCGGAAGTCTTGGCACCTGCAAGGCAGCGACAACCCACTCTAAATCAAAGACAACTCCAGTGAGCCGCTCGTGCAGCCATAGGCGGCAATCGTCCTTGGTGGAGACCCTGAGTACTGACCATGGCGTCCCACGCTGCAAAGATGGAAAAGACGTCAGCGATAACGCCCCGACAGACCATGAAAGGCCATACCGGCTTGGTACGAGGTGTTGCGCACCTGCCTGGCGGGCAGCGCATCATCACATGTTCAGAAGATGGCTCGCTCCGATTATGGGACCTGGAGAGCAGTGTACAGATTGGCGAGGACTGGCAAGATGAGGGTTTGAAGTGGGAGCAAGTACCATGGCATTATCTCCAAACAGCAAAACTGTTGCAAGCGGATGTAGGGATGGGAAAGTAATGTTGTGGGACATGGAGACAGGGAAGATTGTCGCCAAATGGACAGGACACACTCAAGTCGTGAATTCAGTGTGCTGGAGTCCAGATGGTGAGCGGGTTGTGAGCAGATCAAGTGATGGGACGGCAAGAGTGTGGGATGGTGAGAGCGGCGAACCCGTTCAAGGTCTGAATCCAATCAAGACGGGGCACCAGTACGTGGATGCGGTGAACTATTCACCTACTGCAACAATGATTGCAACAGGGGGATTCAACAAGAATGGAATCAAAATCTGGGATGCCATGATGGGCCAGTTGCTTTCCACAATTGAAGACCATTTGGAAGTTTGGAGCGTTGCCTGGACATCAGATGAAAAGAAGCTTATCTCCGGGATGTCCAGTGGCTCAATTAGGATATTTGACACTGCAACGTGGCAGCAGATCGCTGTTCTTGAAGGTCACACTAACGTTGTCTACGCCATCACATTATTTCAGAATGACCGTCTTCTTGCGAGTGCATCAGTGGAAAGAACAGCGCATCTTTGGAATCTCGACACCAATCTCCCGGTTGGTCCACCACTCAAGGTCAAGCATGAAGATGACAAGTTATGGGCAATTATGGCAGGTGCAGCCTTTTCCGCTGATGGAAAACTGCTCGCCACAACTTGTGGTGGCAAAAACGTGTACATATGGGACGTTCACACCATCCTACACGAAGCTGGCCTTGAAGATCTCCTGTCTATACCCAATGTGAGTGTCAACATATCACCGCTCTGTTTAAATTCCTGACAGTGTCCACTATCAGGCACCAAAAGACAAGGTATGCATCATCTCGTGGCTCTTCATCAATAGAGCATGCTAATCTCCCACTCGCAGAAGTCCTTGTTAAATGTATGCTATCCCTTTGTTCATATTTTCTACCATTGTAACATGATGGATATCTAGGCTGATGCTACCTGGCGTCCAAATGCCCGTCGAATGCAACCAGGCTTCTTTGAGGGCGCCCCAAACCGTGCTCAGGTGCATCACCACCATCTTGTTTTATTCTTTTTCTGACCTGTATGCTCTTAGCCTTCTGCTATGGGTCTCCACCCTCATCCACGTCGCCCTCTTGCATCATCCTCGGGGTCAGGTGCATGTGCATTCCTCAGTCGCCTTCCCTCCCTTTTCCACCGTTCCCAACGCAATGTTGATGAAGCGACTGAACTCCAACAACACCCAAGGCAAAGCATCTCCTCTCATCACAGCCCTCGTGTTGTCGAAGTTGCTCTAGTACAGGATAGGCGGGTATGTCTTTTTGGGTGTGTTCCAAACGACTCGTGTCTGATGATTTCCCTCCAGGCATTATATGTTGCTCCGCTGCGGAAAACAGCTAGTAACACAGCCAGACGCATGAAGAACCCCAAATGGTTGGCTCGTGTGGTGTTGTTTCTCTGTTGTGCGTCTCCTGCTCCCGACGATGGTCATCACGCCACATAGAAAACATTCATCTCACCATGTATTTTCCCTTTCTTTGTGATCTTGTTGTAGTATTTTTCACTATCTCATTAATACCATCCATTGACGTCTCACGTCTTGTGCGTCTCTGATAGTCTCATATTCGACCTAGCACGAGCTCGTAGTCGGTTGACTGCACCCAACAAGTGCAACAAGTTGAAACTGAGGATCGTGGTTCAGTTTTTCTGATTCCAAGTCAAGGTTAACAGTATTTTTTTGTAGCAGTTCAACCACACCAACCGTTGGCCCTGCATAGTTTGATTCAGCACGATTCGTCACTCGTTGTATTCCACTCCAAGCTGTTCATTAATCATTACACGATAACCACAACAACATCCTCAAAACAATTGAAATACGGAGATCCTAAAGCTAATACATACAATAATTGTATAAGTAATCCGCAATCATATCATCTATCATCAAATAATATAAATAAAGATATGGATGGGAATGCCAGGGGATTGGGAATGCTTGATGATGAATAAAGTTATTGAGCATATAAAACGATGAGACGATGAGGGTCGTATTCAAGCAACTTGAAAGAGGCGATGAGGAGTCCGAGGTGATTTGATGTGGATGTCAAGCACGCGGCCCATTCTAATCACCGATGTTACGAGTCACAATACCTCGCCGCCCTCCCTTCTCCACTGTGGAATGGGGACTCTCAACTGTACAGCGACCTCTCCGTCCCCTGCTTTGTGTGGGTGTAGGGTGTTGTGTGTATTGTAACGAGACCCGTCATATAGGGTAGAAAGTGGTTCGTTGTGTGTGAAAGAACGCGTGTGAAGACCAGAATGTGACTGTCGTTCATTGAGCATGCTCATGCTATGATGAGGCCCGTCTTGTACGCTAGAACGTCACGCGTCGCGTGGAGAAAGTCGTTTGTCATGCACACTAGACCGTCGTCCATCCCGTGGAGAAAGACAACCATCCACTTGCAAACTCAACCGCCCAGACCCAGACCCATCACTCACCCCAGACCGCCTCCTCTCCCGCCCACACCCACTCCCAGCAGCCTCGTCATAACTCGGTAACTCGAGAGCAGGGGTACACCTCCAATGAATCCTTGTGATGTGACACGATAGTCTGGTGCTGCGTTCGCATTCGGGTCTCCATCCAGGAGGCCACTTGTGTTGCCTTCAACACTGACACTGGCACCCACACTCCCTTTGACGATACTCCCATCCCCATTGAAATCCTCTCCAGATCGCCCACCATGCGAATGCGACACTGAACCAACCTCCGTAAACCCCCTCCCACAAATCGCACTCTCCGCAATCTCAGCAGGAGGCGTTTGTGGACTATGCGGAGAATGTGTTCCTGTGAAATAAGGCGTTTTGGCTCTGCTTGCGTTTCCACCTATGCTGAACGTTGTGTGGCGTGAATGCCCACGTCTGTGTGCGGGGTATTCGAGTGGTTGAAGCGGTGACACCAAATTCCCAAACGATCGTGAGTGGCCCCCTCCTGCACCACTGCCAGCCCCAGGAGAAACACTCGTCATCCCCAACCCATGCCCATGCCCACCCATACCCACAAGACTTGAATGACTCCCTGATCGCCTGCTGAACCACCCACTATGCAAAGGTTTCATTGCAATGCTTAGAAGCAAACCTCTGGTACGGGAGGCTGGTGGACTGTGGGTGTATATCTCTGGGTTTGATACTGGGATTATGGGTGGTCTGTGTGGGTCTGCGGGAGATAGGGAGATGGGTGCGAGTGTGGGTCTGTGTGTTTCAGGAATGGAGATGGGTACGGACACAGTTGCGGGAGGCCCCATCGTCCCATGTGCATGGGCATGTCCACAATCGCGATGCTCGGGACTGAGAGCGTGTGAAACGAGTCGACTGGGTACTTGGCTCGTAGTAGGATCTGAATTCGAGTGTGGCGATCGCAGACGACGAGATAGGAGTTCTGAATTGACCCAATCGGGTACGTCATGCGGGAGCGTATGAGCGTGGTGCACATGCAGGTGTGGAGGCGAGCTCGCACCCGAACGAGGCAAGAAGGACGTGCTGAGGCCTTGTGTAAGGGGAATGTGTGGAGTGGAGGATACATATGGATTTGCAATGCGCATGGTAGATCCAGCAGGGAGGAAGGCATTGGCAACGCGATCCCGAACATGGGTTGTATAACTCGGCAATCTCTCACCTTCCTCCTCATCCCCTTCTTCCCCGAAGATCCCAGCGCCACCACTAACACTCTCCCCATCGCCTTGAACGTAATCACCCAAAACGACGCGTCAGACCCATCTTCCACCGGCCCGAGCTTCTGAGAGCAATCGCCCATCGAGAATGGTTATAGGGAGACTACAGCGGAGTCCGGAGGTGTGTCCGTCGAGGTTTGACATCAGAATTGACCAGCAGATGCGGTGTGAGATATGGATTGGGTTGAGGGCGTGGGAAGGGGGGAGGGTTGGTGGGAGGGTGAGGGAGAGTGGGTAGATGAGGTCGCTGGTGTGGGTGTTCGTCGTGTGAATGTGAGGAGGAGGGAGAGTGGGGAGCAGAAAAGGAGCTTGCAGTTGGGTGAGGGTGGGAGTGGGAAGATGAAGAAGATGATGTACTAGGGACTTGACGGAGGGTGAGATCAGGTTCGAAACCAGGGGAGTGTGGTATACTGGAATGCAGGGATGCCCCAGGGCCAATTGACTGTCTTATGCCATCCCAGCTCTCACTGATGAGTTTGAGCTTTCCATGAGAGACCTCGTGTCTTGAAGTGACGATGGTTCTGGTGAAGTTGCTCCCCCTTGAACGAATCTTTACGGTCTCATTCAAGTTTGTGAGAATGCTGAGTACGCGTACGCCTTTGGCGAGTGGGATAAATTTACAGAGGGCAGTGAGGGTATCACCTGCAGCCCAAGCACGATGAGGGAGTACAAGCGTGTACATGAGTTTTTCGGGCCATGGATTCTCGATCTTGAGTGTCTGCTGATACTCGAGTGACCTTGGTGCAAAGCTGTGTATTAGGGCGACGGGGTGTGATGCGGTGAGGTTATGTAAGAGGCCAGGGCGGACTGCGGTTGCGCGAAGTTTGTATGTAGGAAATGAAAGAGGAGGGGTTGGTGGCGGGGAGGTGTATTGAGGATGGGAGTGTTCCACCAAGTGTGAGGGAGAAAGGAAAGACGTGTTTGGTGATTCTAGCAGACCGAGGTGAGGTAAGTAGATTGAGATGAAAGAAATGATGTACGGGTCGTTAAGAGAAGCACAGCACAAACCAGTAGATTATGAAAAGGGTAAAATGTGGATAAAGTGTGAAAATACACAAGAATATCACCACGTTTTCCGCCAGACTCTCTCATCTGGTAATTTGCCAAAAGTTACAGACTTTGCTATCATTATAGCGGCATTTTCCCCTAGAATATACCCAGAATTCACAGAGATTTCTCCTGGAGCACTTGATGGATGCAGCTGCTATATTCAAAATTGTTTGATAGCACGCTAGCTTCACGCTCGTCCAGCTAGCTGCAGCTCATTAATATAATATATTGACAGTATGGACATTATGGGTATACTATATAGCAGAGTACGACTGATATTTGAGTGATATAATCCATTTGAAACACCCGCCTGGCCAGTACTGTGCTCTGCAGGTTTCAGCTCGAGAGCTTGTGATGAGAGCGATCAAGATGGCGAGTGCCTAAGCTGGAGAAAAAAAAATGGGGGCATCAGCTTTCAGAAATCATTACTCATGTAGACATCTTACTGGAAGTGTCAAGTCTGGGCGTAAAGTGGAGAGCCCTACTGAATTAAAGTGAATATATGCCCATATTGCCAACCACATAACATACCCAATCGATTTGCGAGATCAGTTCCGGTTAACGAGACTCGATGCGAGAGCATGGCGGCAGCTGCGTGTGGATGATTGATGGATAGGCTAGGTGACATCACAGAGGACTGAAAGCATTCAAGTCAGAAGAACAACTCATCGAGAAATGTTGACAACGTACATGAGCTGTGGCTGTCTCGTGCATGATAATACGTTGAACCTCAGAAGTCGATAAGCTCCTCAAGCTGAGCGGGACATTGTAGTATAACATCAGCCCCGAAATTGATCAACTAAAATGTCACATACATTGATAACCAGTCGTTGAGTTGTCGCATCTGTGACTCGTGAGAGGGATTAGCATGATGAACAAGAGCTTCCCAATATAACACCACCAGCAATTGTGTTTGCATTAAGGATCCTGGTGCGCAGTCATGGTCAAGAGTCAAGAGCGCTGGGGCCAACCAGAACAAAATCGTGACTGAGTCCCATATTGATCAATATTTGTGACACAATGAAAGGAAAGTTTGATTGTATTTTCAGATCCTGTTGAAATACCACAGGGTGTATTTTTCATTCGGGGAAATGCAAGAAAATTACTGGAAAGTGTCAAATTGCACTGTGTTTCCCAGAAGCAGCAATCTACGTGTTTGTGCTGTGAAGGTGGTACGCGAGTTTTACCACGAAATTGGAGATTGATCTCTTTGATAGAAGTCGCCTCTGAGAGAGTGAGGATGAGGGGACCAAAAAGTAAAGCAGTTTAGTGCAAGGCATCAGTGAACTGGTGAGGAAAGTAGAAGTCTATGCTCTTGGACTCAAAGTGAGGTTGCAAATCAAACCGGCAATTAATTGTCGTCAAGAGACAAACTAAAACTCGCTATAGTAGAACCACAATTGTAATGGGCAACAGAACTATTTGGGTAAAAACCCGGCAAAGGGTTTTCGGCTGAAATGGACGATAAGGACCTAGAAGAAAAGTGCAAGTATGAGCTGTGTATCCCACACAATTAGGAGCCAGTTGACGCAACAAGCTCATGCTTGGCCCCTAAACAGAAGGAGATGGGCTAAGACTTACTAGAAAAGGTTTAACGTGGTGGAGGTAGCGCATACCGCATGAATGGCTCTAACACTGGTGTGTCCTGCAAATAAGGCGCAAGCACGACTGTGTGTTTGCGCAGGTAGAGTACAAAGGCATTGCTGCTCCGGCGTCCCATTGCCTTGACATTGTCGAAAGGTACTCCACGAAGCAGGTATTCCATTGTTCCTCCAATCCGTATACCATGACCTTTCAGTGCCCCAACTCCCAGTTGATCCCCAGCGGCCTGCAAACTTTTCAGGAATTCGAATCTAGTGAGAGGACGTAAACCTGTCTGATGGCGCCAACTGAAAACCGCCGCAGACCCTGGGGGGCTGTTGATGGCTAGGTGATTTTGTAGAGCTGCTTGAGGATCAATGACACCAGATTGCGTTGCCCAGTAGACGTCCTTGCCGGTCTGTGAGGTCTTGGTGCATGGCAGTGCAAAAATGACAACTTTGAAGCCATTCTGATCCTCTTCATGACGTATATTGCTAACTTTGACATGGATGCGGGGATCGAAGCTGGTGAGTGATGGGACTGTGAACTCTCCAGTCCTCGCGATGGTGAAGAACGATGTGGTGAGGCATGCAAATACTGCTGTGTGCAGGGGCTGTGAAATGTCAAGCACGGACCGTATGTCCATGAGGAGTTTGATCGTGAATGGTGCACGTTTAGGACACTTTGAGGATGGAGGGGCCAAACGGGCAGCACCTGTAAGTGCCAAGGAGGACTCGGCATGGTTGGCAAGCCAAGGCATCCCATGGAGCAAGTGCCAGGCACGAATTGCATAAAAATAGTTTTCCAGCGTAGTGCCCACATAAACTCCTGCGCATGCCGAGATAAACGCCAAGAGTAGGACCAGAGGGGCAGGACAGCGTTGTTCCTTAGGGATCCCTTGGGCATTACAGAATACATGGTAGATGAGGAGACCCGATCCGTAAGTTTCCCTAGTGCTAGCGGCATGAGAGTGTGAAATAACAGCTAGAATGCGGTCCAAATCATCAGTTGACACAGGAATTGGCACCCCGGCGTGGTCGAGACGAGAGCGCTTGGTGTTAGGGACCCAGAGCATCAGACGGTCTCTAGTGAGACAATGAGGTCGAAGGAGGGAAATCTGTGGCATTAAGCTTGGTGGATATGGTCGTGTTGAATGTATTGTGGGTGCTGTTAGTACTGGTAGGGAAGTGCTCGTGAAGTGTGAAACATCTACTGTGCATGCGGTCGAGGATGCAGGCTGGTTGGGAAACTGTTGAGGTCCAACCCGTCAACCAGGACTGCAGACAACTAACTGCAGTCGCTGTTGCATGTGATTCTGGGCTAGGCGCTGGTAAGGAATTGGGATAGGTCTCCTGGGAGCTCAATGGGCGGGAGCTGAAGTTTCCATGGAGGGAAAATTCCCCGTGAGGGTCCATCGGCTGGGTTCTGTCGGCTGGGTATGTAACAGAGGTGGAAGGAGGTTTGGTGAGTGTGCCGAGTCGAGCAGAGATCGGACTCAGCTGAAAGATAAGGTTAGTGGGTCTGTTGCGACTCCTACCATTGCGCCAGCCATCAACGACCCCTTGGTTGTCACAGTAGACTTGTAAGTGATGTGGGGAGTCGTCGATGTTGGCTCGGAGGAGAGCTGTGGACCAAGAGCTCAAACCCAACTGCTTCCTGCCCATCCGATGTCGCGGGCACCGTTAAGTGTTTGCCAACCTGGTCGTAAGCTCCAGGCACGCCAATACCCATTGACAACAACTCCGATGCCGACGGTCGAGCTGGCATCCGAGAAGGCTCGGGCAGTCAACATGTTTGACCAGGTGCTGGAATTTGTCGGCCTGACAAAAGGCTTGGCAAGCTGATCATGCCACCATTGCAAGTCTTCATAGAGGTGTCGGACAGGATGGTGGGGCACGAAAGGACGCGAACTACAGATGCTGAGCATGGTTTCAAGAGAGGTGAGGTATGCTCGTCCTGCAGGAAGGACGAGGCAAGCATGGAGAAGCTTCCCGTGTAGCCGTTGGACATCAAGGAGTAGATGCAGTCGGGCTCGCATGCCAGTCAGTTGATGGTATCCATGTATTTCTCTTTCTTTGTCTCAGCGAGCTGTACCGTGAGTGTCGTGAGACACCAGAGTAAACCGATGTATAAGACTTGATAGGCAAAAGGAGTATCTTTTGATGGTTCCCAAGGAAAACCAAGTGGGGATGATGCGCGGTCAATGTCGCAGAAGGCGTATGCGAAGTCCAGGTCATTGTGGTGGGAACGTACTGAAGAAAGTGAGAGGTCCAGTAATGGAAAACCGCAATCTTCGGTAAACTTGTCAAACGAACCATCACCGAATTCATTCACCTTTGTACCACAGACATCCGCCACTCTGAGACTGACCCGAGTGAGCCAACTTGAGATGAAGGGATAAGCGCAGACTATTGTAATGACTAAGATGCTCTCTTCGGACACGGAAAAATAGATGGTCGTCCACCCACTTGGTGACTGGACCAATCCCCTGTGCACGCAACAAATCAACACCTGGCATCTGCAACATGTCCATAAGCTCCAGCAGACGGACCCATCCCAAAGGCCTGTACAGGTGTCAATGCAGAATGCGTCGTCGGAAAGGCGAACCACTGTGGAAGGCCACTGTGAAGGGTGTAAGGGGACAGTTCGGTAGGCTTCGGCAATATCTCTTGTTGCGGCTTGAGATCCAGGTGGCAGATTGCGGATGAGAGTGCAAACAGCGTCAAAAGTCCCCCAAGTGCAGGGGAAATCATCGGAATCAACCAGTGAATTGATGGAAGGATTGGGATTGATAGCAGACTGAGTGTCGGGGAAGGAAAAGTTCTGAATGACGCGGTATTTCCCTGGCTTCCCTTTTTTGGGTATGATGGATATGGGTGAGGATTGAAAGTGTCCCAAAAGACGTCCCAGTTCGATGCGAGTGAAAGGTCCAATGTACCGTCCGGTGTTGAGTTCACGAGATAGGATGACTTCGAAAGCTGTCCGATATCGAACAAGAGAAGGAGAATTAGAGGGTGTTTGTGTGGATTCCATAGCTGGAAGATTAAGGTTGAAACCATTGCGTAATCCGCATGGAACATCTGGATACTGGTCGAGAAGTTTGTGCATACGAAGTAGAGATTCCCAAGCTGAAACATTATAGGGTGTGATTGGGTGCAGCCGTCTGTGCTCGAGGGCAGTGCTGAGATCCATGTGCGGTGGAGAGACAACCTGCACATACGTGGCGTTCGTCGTGTGAGTGGTTGCTGCACCCACGAGTCCTGTTGCCAATCGACACACAGTGGCTTGTTGGTTGTGCGCAAGCAGTAGTTGTCGGTTGACTCAGTGTGGTAACCGCAGTATGGGACTTGTCCCAGAGGCGTTCAGAAGTACACTCGATAAAATGGTGGGCATGGCTCCCCAGGCAGACTGGCGCACACAGCAGGGGACTTCTGTCCATGTGCGCCTTCCTGGAAAACCCGCGTGCTGCGACGGCACACGGGCATTGTGGGCATGTTGAGGCCTGTTATTTGCACTAGGAGACGCAGAACGTCTCTGCCCTGTTCGAATTCTGCAAACGTGAGGGAGCAGGTGAACGACCCGCACATCGTGAATGCGGTACCGACGCAGTGTCCCCAGGGAACATTTGTAAAACTGCAGTCCTTGTAAACGCTGATTAAACACATCGCACCACAAATAACGCAAGATTGCCCAGGTAGGCCTGCAGAAGGTAAACGCATGAATGAGAGAGTCAAAGATTGACGTTCAAAGGCAGAGCGAGAGAAGAGCGAGACAAAATCAGTAAGCTAGTTAGTTGAATGTGATGGAATAACAGACCTGGTAGTCATAATCATTGTCGCGGCGGCGGCGATCCTCCCGATAAATGTGATCCAACATGCGATTGATCTCAGTCTCATCGAGGATTGAAATATCCCAAGCTCCTCCTGCCATCGGAATGGCTTGGTGCCATGCTTGACGCTGCTCCTCCTGATACATCAGTAGAGCTCAGCTGATCGAGAGGATCGTCTGAACTCCAGTACCGGTGCAACATGAGAGCGCCCCAAAACGCAGCTAGCATATGTACCCAGTTCTTCATCCCAGCCTCGTTCCGTCAAGGAAACAACGAGTCGGGGATGGCTTGTGCAAATTCTAGAGGGCTCAAGCTGTGGTCAGGAATGACTGCTGTGGAGGGTCGCGTGGCGTTGGCTGGCATCCACGCGGTAGCGCCATCTGGCCCCGTGGTGGGTACCATCCCCTCGTCGTCTGTAGTGCGATAATGCAGACGTGCATCTGATAGACCCTTGTTGGTCCAATAGTAGATTTCCACATGATGGCCCTTCTCAAGTTTGCATAGGGCAAAGTCTGAAACTAGAATGTTCTCATGGGCACGTGAAGGTCGGGGACGTTTGGGGATGGGTATGTGTTTAAGACAGTTCCGCTTTTTCTCTTCCTCTTCAACCGCAGCTTCTTCGAGTCGTCGCACTTGAAGTTGCTGTTGCGCTTCGTCGTCAGCATAGTGTTGTTGTTCCGCCGCAGCAATTTGATCTGCTGCAATTTGGTTCTGCCATTGCGTTCGCTGCGCAGTATTGGTTGCGGTCCAGACTGCCTGCAAGAGCACGGCAGCTTGTTCCTCAGTGTTATTTAAAGCTACAAGCGGTGCTCGGCTCGTTTGGTAGAAGTTGGACGTGAAGTCCGGGCAAATTTCTGTGCTGGGGTCAGAAATAAGACGGTTCATAACGGACAGACCTGGGATCGAAGGATCTTTTGATTGAGCAGACTGGTAGTTGTGCAGCAAAGAATTTTAGCCACAAGGACCAGAAAATGATGACAGGCAGTGATAGCGAGGAAGAAAGGAGCAGTGCATGTCACTTATTCGGATCAGGCATAGACCTCATTCTAGGCACGTGCTCGTGCCTCGCACTTTACTTAGAATACAATACATGTAGTTTACTTGGTAAAATTTAAATAAATGATTGTTTGCGTCTGTTGCAAGGAGTGTTGCCGTCCGGCCATATCATAGTACGCAATACGCTGCAATGTAATTGTCATCCACCAAAAAACAGTTGATATCCACTGAAAAATAGTGGATAAAAACTTTAACCACCATAATTTAGTGGTTGTAAAGATGCACTGAATTTCCGAGGCAACCGAAGTTCAGTGGTCAAATCCACTGAAGAAACAGCATTCAGTGCATTATGCACCGAAGTTCATGGCATTTACTAGCCACAGTGTGCAGCATCCTATCTGGACTAGTTTCAGTTCCGGTAGTACCAAACGCCGTGATTGTTGATAAGACCTTTTGAGGTCTTTTTTTCTTTAATCGACGACGCGCGGACCTCGAGAAGGTCGTAGAGATATAGAGTCTGTTATCTGGCGGAAATCTGGCTGTGTTTTACTACAACGCAGAACGAGAAAAAGTATGTCTTTGCCAAGACGATGATCATGCCCAGTGGATATCGGACATTGCAGGTGCGTGTCTCATAACCTAACTAACGAACAGAAGTTGGCTCGAGGGACGTGATCAACGAATAATGACAAGTCACCTTTCGATGAGGTTGGTTCGATACTGTACGATGGACGGTTATATACCAATCGAAGGCTTGTGGCAGTGCTCCTTTCAGCAGCATGCTCAACATCGCATGCGTCAACGTTTTTACCCCCAAGTCCCCGCTCGTTCTATGTTTTTTTCTTCCCGGTTCTATCGTTCGGTCGTTCGTCCGATTTTGACCGCTCTCGACCACTCTCAACGAACGTTTCATCCCCCATGACTTTGGACGACTATCCTCTCAAATTTTTCGTTATCGGTTCCTCTCGGTTTGACTTTTTTTATCTATTTGCTCTGAGTGGATTCTTGGTCCTTGTCTCTTCTCCCTATCCCATCTCGCTCTCGTTATCCTCTTTCGTGATGCGCTGCGCTCTTCTCGTGATGCGCCAGGATGCGTCCTCTCCTTGTCGCCTCGTAAATTTCTTCTCTCGAACATCTCATTACTCGGACTCGTGCAGTTACCTTGTTCGAGGCGCCGCAGCTATGGAGATGAAGGTGTTGAGGTCTTTCACTATCGTTACCTTTTTGACTTGCACTTGCTTGACGTTCAGCATCAGCGCTTATTATTTTATGTTGCGAACCCACTTGAGGATGGTGGTCTTTCCTGCATTCACTCTTCCTATAATGCGGATTTGGAAGTGATCGATTCGGAAACAATTGTATTTCGATCTTAACTTTGAAGGATCCATGGAGAAAGGTGAAGGAGCGTTCAGTGCTGGCTTATGACCACTGCCTCTTCTTATAATGAGGCTTCGGAAGCGATCAATTTTCTTTGAAGGATGAAGGAGGTCAGCACAGGTCTATAACCGAATGATTCCCATAACAATACAATAGCATAACCCCCCTTGCGCCCTAATCATCCGCCGCAAGGCCAAATGTTTATCTTGATTTCTCTATTCCCAGATCCACCGTCGTCAACGCCTGCGACCTCCTCGTCCCGCCATACGATACCACAACTCGGAAGACCGAGCAGCTCCGGAAGCCTAACGCGATTCTGCCACAGGATGGTCAGCTAGGTGGGGAATACATCACCAAGGGACTACCATGCAAGGTCAAGGGAATTTGAAAGGGCAGCAAGAATAGACACGCACCTCTTTAATGAGCTTACGAATCTTGGGATACCGGGCCTCCACCCCCCCAATATCAAAAGCGAAAACTTGCTCGTCCACCTCACCCACCAATGTTAAATCATCAGAGTCGGGTTGTAGTAGGGGAGATGCAGGACCACTCTCTTGTGGAGGTTGAGCGATTGGCACGGGGAATGCGTCGTCGTCGGGAGCATATCGTTCTCCGACCTGGGGCGGATTTTCCTTGCGTGCTACAGTACGCTGCAGTGGGGGCGGTGGGAGGTACGTGATAACACGGCTCTTTGTCTGAGTGACGCACTTCTTCTCTGTCTGTGTCACGCCTGTACTCCGACCCTTTGGATTCCCGACAGCAATACCGGGAAGACGGAATATTCCAGAGCCCATATTACCGTGCTTGAACGTCTTACTCTTTTTCTTCTCGGGTTTCGTGATCGTGCTCCAGTTCGCGTCAGGATCGTCATTGAATGTGTATGCAGACACTCCGTGACCACTGCGTGAAACTGACGAGGTCGGGACATTGCGTTTCGGCATAGACCTTTCCAGACGTTGAGGTAGTGGAGACGGCGTTGGCGATTGATAGGGACGCTTCTTCGAATGTTGGGGTAGTGGAGACGGCGTTGGCGATTGGTAGGGACGCTTCCTCGACTCGGGAGACACCAGGGCGTCGTCGTTTCTCACAGGCCTTGAAATTCTTTCGACAAATTCTGCTTGAGCTTGTGGTGGGTTGAGGGAGCCACGGATAGTGGAAGCCAGCCACTGCGGCATCGACGGAGGCTCTGCCTCGACCATCGCAGGCGGTACTGTGTGGTAGGACTCCTTTGCCAGCACCTGGGGGATAAACGACGCAGAAGACGCTTGACAACCCTCTATGGAATGCAGAAAACATGCATCATATACTATGCAAGCGCACCAGGGTACTCACGATTACCAGTAAGACGTACGCCACGGCGAAAATGCGAAAGATATTGGTCACGCGGAAGTAATCCTGGGGGAGTAATGACGTTTCTGTGAGACGGCCTTGGCGGAGAGGATTGATAGCCCTCCG